CTACGGTTGCGAGACTTAACCTGTTCGTGTAAAGGACATTCAGAGACTGTCTTTAATCACCACTGCCTTCGTAGCATTGTAGACATACGGTGGAAAAACCACATTAGTAATGAGGGTGTTCACCGAAGGATTTTCAAATCGGACAGACTTTGCCGTACGCTGAGCCGTACAATTTCATTGCACATATTTCGGGGGTTGGGCACGTGCTTCGCGTGACTACTGAGCCCTTACTTCACCATGCACTGCGCGCACAGAAGTTGACTGGAGACGAAGACAAATTGGTCAGCGCATGACTTGGGCCAAAATTGTGAAGGCCTTGGCTTTACATTTAGCCGCGATCGCCGGCTCACGACTCCCCGGTTGAGCCCTCAAAGCCCATGAACACGCATTTGGAAACCTTATCGAACATGTCGAGCAATCGTGAGCATTGGCGAAATAGTTGTGTGATTCTGCCCCCATGACTTCAGTTTTACACATTTTTACGCTCTCCATTTCCTTATTATTGTTGTATTATAACTTCTATACCTACTTGGCACAACTCAACCAATTGACTGTTGACTGTGTTATATATATATATATATATATATATATATATATATATATATATATATATATAGTGGGAATGCAGCTGGCCGTCCATACCATAGAATCGGTCAAACATGTGAGGTGAACAGGAGACTGAATATCCTCAATATCATTCAAGAGAAGAATCTTCTTATGGCACAGTATATCCTGTTTGCAGTGACTACCTTTTTCAATGTATTCTGTTTGGTTTCTAGATCAGGTGCTTTGATTACGCATTTGAGCAGGAACCAACGAATGTGGTAAGTTCCAAATGGCTCAGAACCCGAGTCGGTTAGATGCAGCATTTTTCGTAGTTTATTGGTAGGCTCCATTCAATGAACCAGTTGTGCAATAGATCAAGGGTCCCCTGTAGTCGATCAGCGTAACTTAGGTCAGGCAATTCAGCCCACAGCTTGAGGTCGTTAGCGTAGATCAAGCATTCGGTTTGGAGTGTTGCAGAAAGATCACTGATATACAACTTTCATAATTCGAGTCCAATAATGGATCCCTGTGGAACACCGCTTATCATGAGCACTGGTGTGGAAAGTGATTCGTTCACTCTCAGTTGCATGGTCCGGCCCTCCAAGAAGTCGGTGGCACACGAGTGAAGTATGCCACTGACATTAATTTCCATAACCTTCTAGAGTAGTTACTGGTGTGGGACGTTTTAGAACGCTTTGCTAAAAGGTGAGGAAAAACACATCTGTGCGTTGTCCGGCATCAACCGTCCTCGCTACTTTTTTCTCTCCACTAGCATGTTGGTGGAGCAGCAGCCTCACTTATGGGAACCATTTCGAGTAGAGGAAGTGGTGTTCGTTTCGTCATAATATCTGTAGAGCGCGTTTGATAATTTTTTCCATAACTGTACAGACAATAGATGACAAGCAGATTGGGTGATAGTTCACACAGACTTGGCGATTTCCGTCTTTGTACTTGGGTATTACGATCCCACTATCTTAGATGATTGGTAAACGAGCAGCCTTTAAAGAAAGCTGGAAGACTGAGAAGCCGAGTGAGGCAAATTGGTCAGCCACTGTCTTGAGGAAAAGGAGATGTTAACAGTCGGGACCAGGTTAGGAGTTTGAGTTGAGGTCATGTAGTAGTTCCCTAACTGTGGTCGGGCTGAATATAATAAGTTCTAGGCAATGGGGGTGCTTGCATTCATGTATGTTGGTTGACTGAACTTGTGGCGATTATAGGGAGGAGTATTGCCGGCGAAGTAGGTTTGCTTTCTCATCGTCTTCAAAGAGTGCAACACCTGTCGCGTTGGATGACAGAGCGCGTATGCCATAAGCAGCTTTGTTTTCCTTGTTGACATAAGCATATAATTTTTGGTCTAGAGGAGGACTGTTCTGTCAAACTAAGTTCCAATTTGTGTTTTTCCCATAATTTTTCTGGGAGCACAGGTTCCTAGGGCCTTGTGGAGCGAGTAATCGAAGGCTAGTTGGGAGATATTGAATTTGTTTTATTGTTTCCGTCACTTATTCATGAAAAGCCGCAGCTTTCGATCAATCCAACGGTGACTTTCTTGGCGGGCCGCTTTCTATTATTTGGACCTGCCAGTTCATTGAGCGAGTTCATTTTGGAACGTAAAAGATCCCAGATTTGGTTTTGCCACCCAAGAGCATGCAATTGCCGCTCGAAACCTTCAACATCAGACTACCTAATGACGCGCTTCGGAAGCAACTTCTGACGTTCAATAACTCGGCGCTACAAACAAGCTTCCACCTTAAACCGGTCAGAACGTTTGGGTCAACTGAACTGAACGTAGGAGCAATATATCGGACCCCGTCGAATACTTCCAGCGATTATATCGATGTTGCGCCGCAGCGTTTGAATTGCTGTTCTTGTTGCTGTCGGGGGTTTTTAAATTTCCACATGTTGATTGGCTACAGTATCGAACCCTGCCTGACAGTGGCGACATGGAATCTACTTTTGTTGATGTGATGACAAAAATGAATGCTGTGCAACACATTCAGCAGCCAACAGGACAGCTTCCGGAGTAATCTGTTAGTTGTCTCGAACACTTTTTTTTACACTCGGTGAGCAACCATGCAAATCAGTTACAATATTTTGACCCATTAGGTTCATTAACCACTGTGTCGTTTCAACCGTTTTGCGTTCGCCGTCTTTGGGATCCTCGCGACCACCAGCTCGTGACATGTGGAAAACTAACTGGGATCGCGCGGTGATCACTACCAAACACATGACTTGGTCGCTGCTATGGAATGACGATATGGAAGTATGCTGGGGGTACTGAAACAAAACGTTGTCCAAATGTTATCCCTGTTCGTCCCATCAGCACCAATTAAATTTCGGAATAAGCCGTCATGGGTTGAAAGGGAATATGCTATTATGGAAGTTATGGAAGCGCTTCAGGAAAACACAAAGGGACATTAAGTATGAAGCTTATAATACAGTAAAACCGCTACAACTTAGTGAAACTACGGTAGCGTGAAGATTACGAACTACGCTTATCAGTAGCTACGAAAGACGTAGACAGAATGATCTTTGCGTATACCATACGTAGGCTTAATCCATCTAGTGAGCTATCTGCATTGGAAAACATATTCGATGAGCTGTTGACCGCCGACGCGGACCGAGCTATGGCATTTGCTTCCAATTTCGAGGTTTTATTCGATACAGCCCCAGTATTTCAATATACCACGCGGGATGCCAAAATGGAGGCCACAGTAAGTTCAGAGGATGAAGTTATGCGGTTACTAACAGATCCAGATTGCTCTACATATCAGGGAGCGGATAGATTACGTCGCTGTTGCTCAAGAGTTTGGCGCCCATTATCGCACTGGTGGTGACGGAATTGTTTACTGCCCAATTGGCTCAAGGATCTGTCTCTTGAGAACGGAAACCAGCAGTCCTGCTTAGATTTTCCAGGTGGATACGTCACAGACCGACCCAACTATAGACAGTTGCTGCACATCCAGTAATGCACTCATCAACTATTCCATCTTCTCCAGAGTTGTCAGTAGTACTCATCGCATCTGTCCTTTGTGAGGCTAGGACATGCAGTACGTTACTACCACCTGTGGTCAAAATACTACTGGATCATGCGGAATTCAAGGCACAGGAAGCCAGCATTGTTCTCTGCACGTTGGAGACCATCATTTCAGCGAAACCTAAGTATACACTTTAGATCACAGTTAGTTGCTAATCCATGGCGGCAGTTTCTCACACTCCCGGTCCAGTGTTTTTAGACACTGACTCTTCAGAATTGATGCTGACAATACCCGAAAAGACGAAACGGCCGCTTTGTGCTTTCCTGGATTAGTAGTGACTGCCTGCTTGATTGTGGCTGTAACCTATCCCCATTGAAAACTCATTGCTCTCACAAAAAGTAGGAAGGTTTTGATGAAATGTTACTGGTTCATCTCAGAAACTCAAATATCAGATTGCCTAAGCACCAGTCTAGAAAAGCCTTAGACGGCCGTTTCGTTCTATTTGACCTCGCAGTGGTGCGTATCAATCGGCTCCACGGGTGGTGTTGTATTCCAGTCAGTATGCAAATTTTGTCCATCTGCCAGCATGTTCCATGTGTTAGTGGTATAAGCTTTTGGCTACTGATGTAAGCGATGGGTGGTCGTGGGTACTAATCCTCTATAGAGGAAAAGAACTTCTAATATTGTTTCGGATTGGTGGTCAGACGATTTGGATTGTGAACCACCAGCATGAAGCAGTTATATATTTTATTGCTATTGTGCAGGCAACGAGTTGAGCACAGTGGTCTCTACGTTAGTTTGACTTGATTGATCCAAAGTGAATTCCAATTAGTTTGTGTTTCCTTAAGAAATTGTGACACATCGTGGCTTATTCACACTGTATGGTTCGTGAAATACATAGATGTCAAGCCGTTAAAGCCCTGTTAACCTATTAATTTTTTGGCTGAAAGTATTAATTCTAATACTCAGTAGAATAGCGCATCCCAATGTTAACATGCAGACCCCGAGGCGAAGTCTGATTCTGCTGTATCCGGGTTACCACGATTTGGCAAATGTTGAAAAGCCTATCGGAATAAGTGTTGCAGAGGAATGGACGATATATGTAGAAAAGCAATTAAACAAACTACATGCACGCAGCCACGTCTTAGAGGCATATTTTACAATGGAACCAACGGAATAAAAGTTCTGCTCTACAACCATTGCAAAAATCCATGTTCGCAAGAAAGCCATATTAGGCTTGGCTAGTATCTGACTAAGAACAGCATCAAACTATTACTTCACGATCGAATCAGCATGCTGTAGCCATAATAAAATCCACGAAGTGGCCCGTTCCATTCTCACATAGAAAGTGGCTAGTCTTTTTTTCTCTTCTTGCAGGCCACACGAATTTCCATTTTTGAACTTCTCGTGTTATATACTATTAGGATAGCTGATACATCCATAAGTTTTGTTAATAGTCTGCCTTACACAATGCTTTCAGGTATGCGTAGTGGGTGAAACAGATAAAAATGGCCAAAAAACCCATGAGTGATGGGGATTTTAACCGACTTCTGTCTACACTGATAGCAGAAACATCGGACAAAGAGAGAAAATTTGAGAAACTGTATTATTCAAAAGGAAATTTCAGTGGGACACAAGTGAATTGCAGGCAATTACTTTATTTATATTTAGGCGGCCGGACTGATAAACTGTTTCAAAACAGCCCCGGAGCGCGTGCGAGTCATTAAAGCTTTGGAAAGGGTATGTTTCTCTTGTCTCTCTTAGTGGCTGATACTTGTCAACCGCAGAGACTGTGTCGCATGTGCTGTGCAGAGGCTTGCGAAATATTGAAGGCTGTTCAGTTGACCAATCGCGACCGATTGTTCACGCTCGATTGTATAAAGGGGTACATGATATAAAGCTTGTCAAACTTGCGATTAGAACGCTGGTAGATCATGAAACAACAGCGGGCATTGAAAACATCTTGAGCGCATTCCCATTTGAAACAGACAAGAGAAAGGCTTTGGAGATTCTAGCCACGGTAAAGTTTATTTCACTGGCACAACACTAATATGTCCCTAAATAGGTCAGCATGTACGTTACGCGAGAACTGGCAGCTGGAGGCCACCAAATGTACGCGCCTGTCGGAGTGTTGTATACACAAAGCTTCCCATCCAACGAGGCCTTGTATGGACCTTTGGAGAGTCAGCTAGCACTCAAAGAGGTAAGTGAACAAGGGTCGCTATTTTGAGGTTGGTTTACATATAGTTTTTATCGTATGTTATCTCAACAGCCTAGCAACTAGACATAGAGCCAACAAAGCCATGGAGATTAGCAGATATTGGGAAGTCATTGCGTCCTAATCATCGTGACATGGTAGTTGAAGGTGAGCAACACACTTCAGCTAATATGTCGCAGGAAGAAGGGAACATTTTGACAAAAAGTAGAACAAAACATCTTTAGTTTGTTTTCACACGCCGATTTTGCTCTTATTTTGTCATTTTCAATGCTTGTAGTATTAAACATGTGAATCAATACAATACTGTACACAATTGTCTTCAAGAGTGCTAATACATTGACACCCCTCATCTTTGGGTCCCCATCCTGGAAGACGTACAGATCCAGCAGCGGCTAGACACGTCGTCAGCAATTTCATGTGCTGCCGCCAAGTGGAAGGCTGATCACCACGCGGTCGCCTCCAGCCAGGTCCTTGACGAGCGAATAGAGCGCGACGCGGTAGACGCTCAGGTGCCATGCGTAGGACGTGACCGAGCCATCTCAACTGGCGCAACAAAACCGGTGTGTTGAAGGGAATACTCGCATTCCCCAAGAAGCGACGTCGAACGTCATTACTATTAACTCGATGTTGCCACCAAACACGAGCGATCCCCTTTAAGCAACCGTTATCGAAAGCAAAAAGACGACGCATGTCTTCCATGCGAATCGGCCAGGACTCGCACCCATAAAACAATACTGAGCGAACTGATGTGCTGTAAACGCGGCCCTTTAGTGAAAATGAGACGTCGCGACGACGCGACAAGTGCCTCAGATTAACACGTGCTGATCGAGCTTTAGCGATACGAAGCGAAACTTCTTTGTTGATAGTGCCGTCAGCAGAAACAGCTTCCAAGATAGACGACAATATCTACCTGTTCAACTTGTGCACCTTCGAGAGTGAGCACGGGAGCAGGTCAAAGCCAATTCTTGATCATTACTTTACACTTCGATGGGGCCAAGCTCATGCCATACCTAGATGCTTCAACCGCCAAACGATTCAGAATGAGTTGCATACCCTGAGGATCGTCACCAAGTAAGGCGATATCATCCGCATAATCTAATTTGGTCGCGCGCTCACCCGGTAGAAGCTCTAGGCCAAAATGTTGAAAACCTTCTAGAGCATTCGACACAACGTTTTCGAGTGCGAAGTTGAAGAGGAATGTGGACATAGGGCAGCCCTGTCGCACACCGCTATTGACAGCGAATTGCGCGAAAAGCTTGCCATAGACCCTCACTCTGCCGGATGTATGAAGGTAAAGTGCTCGTAAGATGGCGGTACATTTCTCTAGCACCCCTTTCTTTAGCAAGCAACGTCATAAAGTAGGTCGATCAATGGAGTCAAAAGCGGCACGTATGTCTAGAAATGCAATGATAGTGGGCCTGTGATAAATGTGGCGATGTTCGAGGAGCTGGCGGAGCTTGAAGATTTGATCCACGCATCCGCGGCCTGGACGGAAACCAGCTTGTTCTTCACGGTAGTATGTTTCACGTACTGGGGATAGTCTGCGAAGCAGAATGGATGCCAATAGCTTAGAGGCAACCGAAATAAGACTAATCCCGCGATGATTTGCACATGAAGTGCGAGCGCCTTTCTTGAAAATCGGGACAATAACTGATTCGCCCCAAGAGGAAGGTACTTTCTCTTCATGCCAAATTTTTGCGAACAGCGCGGTTAGCTGGTTAATGATCGCCACACCGCCGTACTTGAATAGTTCCGGAGGAAGTCCGTATAAGCCAGCAGCCTTGAAGCGCTTCAAGCGTCAAATCACGAGGCAGACTTCCGCTTCGCTGAGTGGATTCAGTGGGACGAGCCAAAGTGGACAACAAAGTGTACTGCATGTACTGATGGATGGTGGAGGCCAGTTGAACTGCGAGTGAAAGTGCTCGGCCCAGCGGTCCATACGCCTCTGTTGGTTGGTGACCGGAGACTCATTCACCTCACAAATGGCCTCACTGACACCAGGCTTCCTGAGGCCAGTGGACCGAATGAGTTGGAAAAGCCTACGAGTGTTGCCAGAGAAGGCAGCGGTCTCCACCTCTAAAGCACGCTCAGACCATCATCTCTCTCGATCCTTGCGTAGGCTTTGCTTGGGAAGCCGGTTGGCAGAACGGCGCCGCTCGTTGCAATCTGATTCCGTCGGGATGTCTGCGGCGTTCGAACAGCTCCAGAGAACGAGCAATCCAAGCCTTCAAGGGGCATCGAGTTAAGCCGCAGCATGACTGTACGGAAATGGTTAGCACTTTCTGTATACAAATCCAGTGTTGTTCCAACTGAGTGCATATGCCAGTGAAGACTGATAGCTCACCTGGACAGAGAAATCAGTTAATCTGTTTACATCAATCTTGCGGTGCTTCGTGTTTCGGGATCCTCCAAAACACACAGATTTTCGCGCAGACCAGAGCATGATCTGAGTCAACGAAGATGAACCAAAAGGAGGTGCAGCCCAGTAGGCTGCCGCGCCATCTGAAGCTAATTGCAATGTGATCAATTTGAGACCACGGTTGTGTTGAAGAAGGGGGATGCAACGTTGCAGAACGCTTCTTCGTGCGCCTGAAGTTAGTGCTCGAAAGAAACAGACGGTTGTCTTCGCACAATGTGAGAATTCTGTCTCCGTTATCAGAGCGGTTCTCATCGAGCGCGTGGTGACCACTAAGGTGGCGCTCGTATGGTAACAGGTGGCCAACCCGTGCATTAAAATCCCCAGCAAGGATAACGACATCCGACATTTTAGCATTAGTCAAGAGCTGTTGTAGATCTCGTTAGAATTCGTCCTTGACCAAGTCGCCACTGCAGTCAGTTGGAGCGTACACAGAGATCATAAGCAAGTTGTGTCTCTCTTCGCGATGTCTGTTGATTCTACATGAATCACGAAGCCGAACTGCACATAGTCGGCTTTTAATCGGGAACCAGTCCAGTAGTGCCGCCTCGGCCTTGCCACTTAGTGCTATACCTACACCAGCCAAACCCGCTGAGGCTGTTTCTGGGTCTTCAGAAAGACGCAGGTGATATCTGGCTTCGTGGTCAGTGGGGGATGTCAAAGTAAGCACAGTGCTGGGACCTTGCAATCGGCTTTTTGAAAGGCAGCAGACATCAACGTATGGGGAATCTAGGGTGCGCGCTAGACCGGCTTGCCGTCCATTCTGCATGAGTGTCCGAACGTTGAAGCACGCCAGACGGAACGAGGATCGGGGACGAAGGAGAGCCATAGGTTGAACTCTTTGGTCTGCGGCGCAACCGGAATCGCAGCCAGATTGTTGAGCACATGAATCGGGTAATGGAAAGTGAGGATTGTTAACAAACAAACAATTGGATTGTGATGAAGTCGAGTGAAAGTGACTAGCAGAAACAGCAGCTAATGTGCGCGTTGTAATACCGTCCATGGTTTTGCGAGAGGGTGTGATACTATCCGGTTGCCCAAGCCGAAGTAGGGAGTTGACTTAGGGGACTCCATCCCGAGCCTTTGGCTAAGTAACGTACCCCCAAGGCAGCGGGGCGAATTCAGGTAGTCCCGCTCATTGGGAGGCGTTGACTGAATGTTTAGTTCATGCCTCTTTGTTTATCAGACTACCAAACAGGGGCCCAATGCTTCCCATATAGTCAGCTCACCTGCTGGAATAAAATGTCCCAGAGAGTTGGAAAGTTGTCGCCGAACACTTTGCTGGAACGGCGTACACAAGTACCACCCAGCTGACACCGCGAGGAGGTAGATCGGCAAGTCAGCAGCTTTTATCATATTGGACCACGCCTACGTGCTTGCACATGAGATTGTGTGTAGACGTTTCAGACCGACTTGCTAGATGAGGATTTGAAAAAGAACTAATTCCATTCTAAGGCTGGCGCTTTTGCATTTCGTTAACATAAAATTTCATCATGGCACTGCTTCTTGACGGAATATAACACCCTGCTTTCTCGCACCCTGACTACCGTGACTATTTGATGAAATTAAGTATATATATATATATATATATATATATATATATATATATATATATATATATATCTATATATATATATATATATATATATATATATATATATATAAAAGCCTCGGTCCGCTGAACAGATAAACTGACCGTCTGTCACAAGACACTGTTTAATTAAAAGGACTCCATCAACAGCAATCAATGCAAAATCGCTAGGAAAAAACCAGATTTAAGTTCTAATTGAGTGCGAATATTTAACAGTTTGAGGGACGCACTCGAAAAGTCATTTATGAGAGACCCAGAAAAGCTTCGTTTATTTGTTATGAAGTATTCAGCGTGGGCGTTTGCCAATTATCAGCGTCATGAAGGTTGCGGGTTGCGCGTTTTCTATTGTGTTTGAAAAAGTGATTTGCTTCGCATACTGATAATTGGAACAAGGGGAGGCTGATTTATTCAAGTCAAATCAATAGTGTGCTTTATGCACCCATGGAAGATGAATATTTAGCTCTAATAAAAACGCCACCAACAGGGATAAATCAGGAAATCATGTAGGACATGAGGATAGATATAAAATCACAGTTGTTTACAAAGACTTGACATGGCAATTATCCCTGGAGTAGTTTACTAACCGTCGGCCTGTAGCCTAGAGTTAAAGAGCTTGTCACACAATCTTGCGGCGCGGGCTTGAATTCCCAAGGGGGTAGGCGTCCTCGCGGTACACTCAGCCCGCATGCCATTGGTGTTGGTCGCACGGCAGCCAAGCACCCTTAGGGTGTGCAGCTGACACATTATTTATTATTACTTAATGTACTAACCAGTTCTTCAATGGCGACATTCCTATCGTGCAAGAAACATGGCAAACAAAAATTGCTGCTGTATTGTAGGCTCTTGTACAGGCGTATATAGTCTTGTAGCTCTGTCTGGTCACACAGCTTGAAATAAATTGGGACAACGCGCTGTAGAGGCGGTAGCAAATCTCAGTAAGTATTTTAAGTGTGAGTTTTTACATAATTTGGCATAGCT